ATTATGATTAAACTCATCGTAAATACATAACATAATTCAACTTATGAGGTTTTTAATCTTTCGTCAATTCTTTGTAACAGTGCCATCTCTCGTTGTATTCGTGAAGTATTACATCAACTTATTGATTACTCTAACAACTTAAAAACATTAATATTCTATTTTTCTCTTTAGATTTGTAAAACTAATCTGCATAATTACCTACTCGAGGTGCTGTATAACGATTAATCTAATTTATGTTATCAATTCAGTAGCAGTAACGAATTGTTCATTCTAAAAATTGTACTGAACTGGCGGCCTGTCCAGCCTTCTCACGTTTAATACAAGAATATTACGAATTCTTTACTATTTTAATTTAATTCTTCGAATTAATAAGTTTGGTTCATCTATTCAAGAGATATTATGATTTTAAGAACTTGGGTATGACTAATAGAAAAATCGAACCGAGCGCGGCCGGCTGCGGCCGAGCCGAGTAAGCGGTAGTACATTTTTTAGTATTATTAAACATTCATTTACCTAGCTTATTCTTCTTCATTTCATTTTATAATTAGTACATAACATATTACTTAAAGCTTCGTTATTTTTACTGACTGAGTTGCCGCGACGGGAAGCTCCGCGTAGGTACCTACTTATGTTACATAACCTAATCACATTAAAATAAAGTAACTTTCATAGAACTTACCAAGACAAGACTATCAGAAGAAAAACTCACACACAATCTAATCACTAAGCGATGGTCTGCGATAGTTTATAATTCTTTACCAACTTTTGTCAATACAAACTTCACAGTTCTTCGTATAACTTTGCAAAATCAATTAACAAATAAACAAACACAGTAATAAAATGTACTTATATAAATAGACAATTTTATACCGTTTACTACAAATTATTTGCGTAGAATTACTAATCGTATTCTAAATCAAATAACAAAATTATCCGAAAATCCACGCATCGCACGTAAACAAAAACAAAAAAATTGTCACGCGCGAGCGGCGTGAAGTTCGCTGCGAGGCGACCAATGAGTAAACCAAGACACGGAACGTGATTGGTCGGCTCGCGGCGAACTTCAATCACGAGTCGTCAGGCCGTGCCTGCAGGCAAGCTTCGCGACGATAAAATAAACGCGTCTGTGCACTACGCACACAATGACGTTCACCACTACACGCTTAAATTTATGAATGGTTTGCAGGCGACGGAACCGCGTGCCTGCGTCGCGCGTTAATGTTTACAGCTATATACGGTACGCCTGGCGAAATGCAACACGTATCGCGCGCCATCATTGTTGCTATACTATTTATTTTAGGCGTTCACTAATTTTATTATAATTATTATTTTAGTATTCTGTAGTAAAATTAAAATGTTTATATCTTTTATTACGTAGTGTTATTCACGGTATTTGTAAGGTAGGCAAAGCCTTTTTGCCTATATGGACTGCACGCCACTGGGGTTAGGTTAGACAGAGGTGCACATTACGGCACTTAATACTACGCACAGTATGACACCTACTTTTCACTATTTATGTTATGAGTCCCATGTAATAGGGGGGTGAGTCTATTCCCATATACCTGACACAATTTCAGACTCCGTGCTACTACTGAGAATTTAAAAAAAACCCAGTAGGTCTTTAATTTTATTTATAACTATGTAAATTATGCCACTAAAACACTTTCTGTTACTATTAATGCAGTGTTTTCCTCAACTGCACTTCGATGTTCTTTCGAAGAATTGTGTATGCTGGTAGCTATTAAGTTAAAGCAATCAATGTTGACCTCTTTTTGGGTACGAGTCATGAGCCAAATGAAATTCAGCTGCGGTTTTGTGGGCGCTTCGGAGACGTTTAAATAGTTATTAATTAAGTATACCTAATTGCGATACTCAGAGACATTTAATTATTACTTAAAATATTAATTTAATAACAGATTTGTTCCGAAAACCCTAGGGTAGATGATTAATTTTTATTTTAATGTCAGTCTGGTAAATTATTTTAAAATATTACACACTCCCCAATTCCTGAATCCCCAACGATCCTCAAACTCCTAATCCCCAAAAGCCCAGTAACGCACTTGTAACGCCTCTGGTGTTCCAGGGGTTAATGATTGCTTACCATCAGGTGATCCGTCTGCTCGTTTACCGGCTTATGCCATAAAAAACGTAATTTTTGTTTTCTTACTGAAACGAATACTTTCGACTATAGGTATATTGATTTAAAATGTCGCATGACGTCACTTCTATGTACATTTTATACGTAGAAATGACGTTTTAGCCCCCACTCCTAAACTTTGATTCGTTATATCTAAGTATCATTTTATTATACAACAAAATAAAAAAATACGTGTCTAACATTTTTCATTACCTAACTGACGGACTAATTATATTTTTAATTTTCATACCCTGTCATCATCCCTATTGATAATAGCCATTAATGACTGAGTACGGCGGTAAGTCTTATTGCTAGGCGGGGCTTGTTTAAATAGTAGGACAAATGTCTCGATTTAGTTTTGGAGACGTTTATAGGTTCTAATGAATAGGACAATTTGCAATAACTTTGTAGACTATTAAGTTCTATATTTGTTAATATCTGAGCTTGTTTTCTGGTAATAACTATAAACTTCTTATCGTGTTTTCCTGACTTTATTTACAATACTCAAGTACATTTTACCTTACATTTTGTCATTAATGATTTGACGTTAAATCCCGAGTGTAAATTATATATTTATTACTAGTATCTTCCTCTACGTAAATGTAAGCAGACAATAACATGTAGGCATATTATTGTCTTGATATTAGTTACTTCCTTGAAGCAACAAGTCTAGTAGGTAAATGGAGTTTACGCACATCACTTGTATAGGGGATACCATTTCTATACATATTAACAATATTAGTTTGCCTGTGTAATAGTCCACTGCTGAACTAGTCCTCTCTTTTACATGCATAAGAGTTTGACATAATTTCCACCGCCTGGGAGGCGGGTGAGAGATTGCAGTTTAAAAACTTCAGGTTTATTTAAGAGTGCTGCTACCTGATCTCTGTCAAATGTCAGTGCCGACTAAGTAAGAGCTGTCTTACAACACAAAAACAGTTACGTTTTAGACTCAAGACGCCATTTTCACCCGCGCTCACCGCGCTGGCGCAATGGAGTTTTATTTTCAAAACTGATCGCAGTTTTTTGTTACGAAGCCGCCGCGGTTGCGATTATCGCCCGCAAACAATCAGAGACCTTAGACGGCGTTCTGTGCTCTGATTGGTTGGTTCATTAGCGCCGGCCAATCACAGCGCTGAACGCGTACTCGTTACGATTACTTTAAACGAAAAAGAAACTCGTACTAAGGCCTCTGTTGAGTTTCAGACCGGCCCGCCGCGGTGCGTTGATTTTTTACATACATTATCTGTATTCGACAAAGGCTGCGGGTCCGCAAACGCAACAGACGCGGGACAAAAATCGCTACACGAATGCGTTGAATGTATTCTACTTTACCGTCAACATACGGTGTGTCGCATGATGTACATGTAGGTTCAACTACTTGTATTGTACTCTATAGAAGTTTCCACTAACCAGCCTACATTTCAAACAACAATTCAGTCATAATAACAGTCTAGTTCTTAAATGGTCTTGCCAACAACATTCCCTGTTTAATCAAGTTATATTGATGCAGGCAGTCAGTCAGCCTTGGCAATGTAATTTGACAATGGCTATTGGGCTCATCGATCTTTTACGACAGTACAATATGGCTTCAGTGTGATGTAGATAGGTACTGTGTAAACAATTTTATATACATTTTTGTAGTGATTTGATGACCCCTTTTGTGAACGTTCGGGGAAGCAGATGGTTTATTTTGTATGTTTAAATGCTATTGGTCTTTTGGTTAGATATCGGTTTGCAGTGTAGGTATTTGTACATTAGAACCCTTAGTAAACGGCCTAATAACTTTCTTAATGTGTAGTTTTAAATAAAACTCAATAATTGAATACGGAAAAGTATATTCTAAACGGATCTTTTAGGAACACAGCGTGATACTCGTCAAAATTCCCAGTTTCCCACCAGAATAGAACGTTACAACTCTTTTGCGCGGGAAACTTTACTAATCTGTCCCATTTGACAGATGACATCGGCAAGATGACAGCTAGTGCCGACAGCACTAATACAGATTAAACTAGTGACGTTCATTTAGTTCATTTTCGTTGTCTAACAGTGGGCAGAAATAAAACTATTTGTTTTAATCTTTCCTTTATGCCATGTTGATGTCACGCTATAAATTATACAGTTTAAATAAAATTATATAGTTCAGTGTCCTTTCTAGAAGTAAAGTTAACAGTACAACCGTTGGCACTGTTGGTTGCACAATGCTATGCAATTGATAGCAATTATCTTTTGGTTGAACACCTTGTTAGCAAATTAATTCAAACCTAAACGAGATTATTATTGTGGGTTTGTATTTACGTTTCATTTAGGGGTTGACGAGAGGGCAATTGATATTTACGGTGTAACAACCACCTCGATCATTGCCCTTGCACTTAAAAATCTAGAACAAAGTTCACAATTAGCCAAAATAGTACAAAGTTCAAAGCTCGATTATTAGCAAATACTCAATCAATCAAACATTTGCAAATCGTTAACAAAATGAGCGCAATGTACGATCACACGAATTGAAGGGTGCTAGTTCAAATGTTACTGACATTCACGGTACAGGCCATAAATATATGTTTTACGCCCATAATAGCATTGTAACCGAGCTTTTTATGAAGGACAAAGGTGTATCGACACTATAAGGTGAAATAGAAAACGTATTTAATGAACTTACTTATTCAAATCTTTAAGAAAAGCGCATACTTCTCTTTAAAAAGTGTTAATTGCGACACGGGCATTATTCTAGACCGCATGCTGTTGATAATTTCCTCAGGACTTCTTGCTCAGAAGTTGCGTTTGCGACCAACAAATAATGAAACTCCATGAATCTCGATTGTAATTAAATTATCACGTTAATAATATCAATATTTGTTCACAGAACGGTCTCCTGTCATCTCTACCGTACCTTGGCAAATACCTGTGTGCGCTCGCATCGTCAGTGCTCGCCGACCATCTGAGGCGAAGCGGCAAACTCTCCACTACCGCTGCAAGGAAACTCTTCACTGGATTCGCTGTGGGACTTCCAGGTATGTGATAGATTACTTCGAATTTAAGGCAAAGCGTGGGCAGGCCTCCCGCTAGGTGGACCGACGACATCGCCAGAGTCGCGGGGAGCCAGTGGATGCAGGTGGCGATATTGTCGTGTGACGTGGAGTACTAAGGGGGAGGCCTTTGTCCAGCAGTGGACGTCTTCCGGCTGTGTATGACGATGATGATGATAGATCATCTCATATTTCAATATTAACTTTTTGTAGTAAACTTAACATATAACCTGATTACTCCGAATTGGTTATATAGGTAAGCAATCGGGTGGTAATTACCAGAGTCTCCAGTCGACATGGACCTGAATTGAAGGTCAAGGCACAATCTCTAAAAATTAGACTACTTTAACTTTACTAGACCTTGAACTCTGGCCTATGACCACGATCAGGTTCAGGATTTTTGATGGGACTAGTAGACAGATGTGTTACAGGTGAATGACTGTTCAAACACTTTATGAGTGGTCCACCATTTACGAGTACCTAATACTCATTTGAAGTACCTAAGTAGTATCCCATATGAGTGGGTCGAAAATGATTAATTTCTATTCTCTAATATAATTAATGAAACAATATAGGTATGCTGTGTTGGATTTATCAACACTAATTTCCCCAAAGGTTGTCTGACAGATATCGTATCGATTGGACAACCTTCATGCTTTTGCGTTCATATGTACTTACATTATTTGAGTTTGGTTTGTGTAATACATAACATAACGCCTTTTTTCTCCGAAGGGGTAGGCAGAGGTGCACATTATACCATTGTACAATGTAACACCCACTTTTCACTATTTATGTTATGAGCCCCATGTAATAGGGGGTGAGCCTATTGCTATATACCTCGCACAATTCCAGACTCCGTGCAAACTGAGAATTATTTGTATAATACAGTGTTCATTAAACTCTACATAGTATTAATCCTCGATTATACCTTTCTTTAAATTGTTTTATAGTTTTATATATACCAACCACATTAGTTATTGACCATTAGAAGTTAAAATAGTCTTGCTTAAATGCAGCCTGGAGTGTAGTGTTAAGTTTACTCGAATTTATTTGTCAATTCTTCCCTACTCAAAACTGTCAAATGTCAATTTTATTCTACAGTAGAATTAACTGATGATTGAAAAATCGACCCTCAGATTCCGTCTAGTCTATGAGTTATTAGGTCTACTAGAAACAAATTCAATTATCAAAATTGTCTCTAATGAATAGCTATTGACTACTTATTTGTTTTCTCCAGGTCTATTGATGATTGCTCAGGCGTACCTCGGCGGTGACCGTGTGTGGTCCATCGCTATCTTTACATCAGCGCTCACCATCAACGGCGCCGTCACCGCTGGCTACCTCGGCAACGGGCTGGATATTGCTCCCAACTTCAGTGGTAAGTTATTCGTATATTATTTCGTAAGTTATTCGTATACTTTTGTAGTATTTCATTATTTATATTTTAAACCTTACTACTGTTTAACGAGATATCTCGACCACTTTCAAACCACGCTAGGGGTTCATAGCTGCTTATAAGCCCAGCTTACGTATCGATAAAAGTTGATTTGTTGCAACTGCAAATATTATAATATCATTGTTATATTTCAGGAACTATCTTCGGCATGGCGAACACTCTGTCATCCTTCGGCGGCTGGTTGTCTACCTTCATGGTGGGAGAACTCACCAAGGAAAATGTAAGTTTATAAAGAAATTAAGAAACTGATTACCTAGAAATGCGCTGAATATAACTAAAAATATTATAATAATTAAAACAAAGCCAAATTCTTAGATTTTGATTTAATTTCTAATTCAAATATTTTCGATGCATTGTAAGATGTTAGATGAACGCATAGTTCACCATGTTCCACCAATCAAGGCAAGCCAATTAAAAATCCTAAATTATAATTGACGATTTCCAGATCCATTCCGTTCCATTCTACTAATTGTCACGTTAAAATTGATTATTATGCTAAAAAACACTTTTCTTGCATTATTTGTCTATTTCTATCTTAAATCCCATTTGCTAAATCCCTAACACCACTTGCGACCAAAATCTCCAATTAGACCTCAGTAACTTTTCTAAATGTTTGATTCATAACGAAAATATCTCGTTTGCAGAACACCCCGGACCAATGGAAGATAGTATTCTACATCTTAGCGGGCACATACATCACTGGCGCCCTCTGCTTCGTGAGCTTTGGTTCAGGGGAGCTCCAACCATGGAACTCTGCCAAACCTACTGCTGAAGTCGAGAAGCAGCACGAGGAACAACCTCTTAATGAGGAGAAGGCGTGAAGAGCTGGAGGTGGAAAGTCAGGCATGCTAGAAAGGTTTGAAGGAATCTAAGACACAGTCAGTTTTGCTTTTGATACCAATTTAGATCTTGTTGGTATGGATTAAAGTCGTTTTTTCTTTGTTACTATGCAATTGACTGTTCGCAATATAAAAGAAATTAATGAATTTAGTTTATTCAAGTCCCGATTTGGAAGTAAATTGGGATCGAAAACGATGTTGATCTAGAAACCATTAGTTATTTATAAGGATCTTTGTAAAAGACATTTTTGTGAAGATTATAACTGTTTCCCTAGGGAAACAGTTGAAATGAAATAAGATCTACCCTTGCTTAGTCAAATATAGATCTTATTTCATAAGCTTGAAGGTAGGTATTACAAACGACATTTTAAATTCACTATTTTCAAGCATGTCTGACATTCGTTTTTATTGTTGAAAATAACACATTGTTAAACATTTCACTTAGGATCACAATCCGTGGGGAGATTCGACGCAATCTCACCACTATAACTAATAAAATTGTTATTCATCTAGGATATTAGCAGTTTTTAGCACTAAAAGACTAAAAGAAAATAGTAAAAAAATATTCAAAAGTCAAGATCAAACTGCTAATGTCCCAGATCCACTAGAAAAAGCAAAAGAAATGATTTTCTCACTTCTAATCAAATTACAAGTGAGAAAATAGTTCCTGATGTATTGTTAAAAATATAAAGAAATAAAAAAAAAACTCAAAAAAAGGCTGTTTAGTGTATAAATATATAAATGTGATGTATTTATATGGAACCGGCGCGCTCATGGACTCGGATAACGTTGGTTCGTAAGAAACCCGACTCATAAGTAGTAGATAAGTGTCTATACTTGCGTATGCGCATATTTCGGCGTTGTGATGGAATGATGTAAGCTTATAAATAGTAAAAAGTCCATTAATTTTTCAAAATTTTATTTAAAACGTTCTCCCACATTAGAATTTTCTCCTATGTCGTGGGTGCGTTTACAAACATACAAGTTCTAACTCTTATAAACCAGAGAACTAAAGCAGATTCGTACGAGGCCATCATGATACTACAGGAGTCTATATTTCTATCCGAATTTAATAATTTTACATCAAACCATACAACGCGGATATTTATTAAAATATAAGTTTTGTTGCTTCAACGCCTTTGGTAATGCGGACACGTGGACAATTTGCGAGGAGGACGCGTGATGAAATGTAAATGATAATAATTAATCCTTCGTTAATGTTTGACTGAAGTATCTCTGGAATTTGGAGTGGTCTGGGAATGCCTGATCTTTCTTATGTTTACATGAATTGTGACATTAGAACTCCAACATGTTTTAATAGCTACGTCAAAAGCTCATAATAGTTCACTGTGTCCTTTATTTAAAGGATATTTTAATTTGAATCTGCAGGTAATTTAATAATATTGTCGACCTAATTGCCGATGTATATCTCCTATTCAATTATATCATCATTTTTAGTAAAATACCACTTTATAAAAAGATTACTAAGATAATTTATTATTATAATAAATTTACAAAAACATTGACAAAGGATTAAAAATCAATGCATAGACACTTCGTTTACATTTCACACGTAAGTGCCACTTAGTAAGGGAATAGAGTAGCTTACCAAATCGTACTGATAGTCGTAAGGACGGATCCGATCCGGGGACCAAAGTTGAGGACAACAAAATCATTCAAACTTATTTATTTTGTGTCTGTAGTTGTGTTTGTTGAACATTTCAAACATTAGATACAGGTGCCAAAGTACGAGTGATTTAAGCTTAAAGAAATCGTAACGAGTACGCGTTCGGCACTCTGATTGGTTGGTTCATTGGTGCCGGCCAATCAGAGCGGCGAAAGCGTACTCGTTTCGAATACTTTAAACGTAAATCAAACTCGTAAAGTGAGACATGGTGTATTTTCTATTATGTCTCTGAAATGACACAATTTAATAGAGTAAGATTTTTTCAATTACTCAATTTACGTTCTGTCTCTTCAAGTTCTTTGTAGAATGATAGACATGGCACGATATTTAAGTACAACTTTACTTAACATTGAGTAGTCTTTCAGTATTCGAACGGAAGAAACTATTTAATTACCACTGATTAAGTTATCATTGGCTTAAATGCCACATATTTTGGCTCATTTCTTATGGAAGATATGTCAAATTTGTCTGCTAGTTTGACTAACGGATACTTAGACCATGTGCTGTGAGGCGTGCGCACGGCGCGGACGACCGCGAGGCGTGTTGTTTCATGTAATCTCATAGATCAACGCTACATCGGGCGCCCGTCATACGCCTAATGCAGCGCACGGCCTTATGCAGAAATGGCGAAATATTTTTTCTGAAGTCTTCATATTAAAAAGTGTATCTGTTAATACGTAATCTGAGTTTAAAGGCCATTGCTGCCTTTAATAACTGTTTACATGTACTTACGTTCTTCTATAGAATTTTGATATTAAAATCATTGTAGAACATTAGACGTCATGCGTCATTTGAAATTCATCTCCATACTAAAATGTACAGTGCCTTAACTTTAATTCAAGTCAAATTCAGCCACAGACACAAAACCAACGATATCTCGTTTTTAAATTATAATTTTGTAAGTATTTTTTTTATAAGTATCTTATTTATTTTTCTACGTTGAAAGTTTAGGAAAATTCAGAGCCATTTATAAAACATTGCAGCGATTCGATTCGCTATTAACGACCATAGGCAAGTCTCGTTACTTTTTTACCGTAAGACATAGATATTAAGATTTTGAGGGTGGTCCCTTTTGGTATTTGGTATTGTTTTATTATTTTTAACTTGGTTTGAATATGGTCTTGGTATGTATCTTATTAATGAGACTATGTTTAAGCTGATTACTGTAGTATTTAAAGTGTTTAAAAGCATATTTCGTATTCAAAAGTATCTTTACATAAAAATAGACGAAAAATAAGTAATGAAATGGTTTGCAATTATATAATACTCTGCCATATTTTTACTTAATCAACAGCCCAAATTGTGTCTTATTCTCTAGATCATTTCTTGATAGTTACAGACTTAAGGTTGTCTTAGACTATAATTCATTTTTAAAGTCCATCTAAATGTACCTTAATTCTACTGTTGCAAGTAAACTTGGGAGTAAATAGTAATCAATCCATTACCTAGGACCGCCCGCTAAGCCATGTTCGCACTTAGCTTTATTACAAGGGACGATGCATTAATTTTGTGTGCATTTTAACAGCTGTGATAAAGAGGTTTGTCTATGGAGTTCTCGCTAGCGCCCTCTACAGGATCTTACGTAAACGATTACTGACAAATTTTCGAATCTTTGTAACGGCTAATTGTAGTTCCTAACGTATGATCAGTATTTCGTAAAAGGTTTTGTGCGTTTCACATTTTTTGTTTATTATTTAAAGAATATGGTTTAGACGGATTTTCTTAGTATAGTCAAGTTAGGCAAGTATCATGACACGATTTAGTAGGATATTTTAATTTTGCCTGTAATGTGAATCATTATTTTAGTCTGAGACTTTAAAGTCTATCTTATTAATGTGTATTTTAAGACAATACAAATAAAGCAGAGAATCTATGAACATTAATACAATCCGTGCACTTATCGTATTTTTTTTAGCTCACTAAGACATATTTTAGCATGTTTTTTTAATCTGCATGTCACATTGTCGATACGTTTCACCGTAGACAGTCCGTCTATATCCATAAACAATTTCCACAGACAATCGTCCGTATCCTTCCAACGATTGCAGGGTAACTAAGTCCATAGAGTACATTATATAAACAAAATAATAATTATGTAAGTTAATTAATACTTGTCTGTGGAAACTTACTTGATATTGTTTTAGTATTATAACTGTACTTATTCTTTATTTATCTATTGTTTTTTACCGACTTTGAAAAAGGTTAGTATTAGGTTATGTTTCCATGTTATTCACATATCTTGTGTTAAATTAAATATTTATGTAGTACTGCTAAACTGTCCCTTAGTTTTACAGGGGTTCTCGAAATGTACACTTGGTGGCGCTCTTGTGATTTTAAGTCCTGTTAACATTCTTTGGATGTAGCACTTCTGTATTTGTTACTGTGTAAGTAATTCATAGTAAATACTGAATTAAAATGGAGTTACACATTTAATATATTTATTTACCTAAAACCTAGAGTGCTAACTTGGTACCTATGTACACCCGGCCACACATCAATCTATACAAAACCAGTTTATCCTGGTGTCGCGTCGCATCATCTTTCCGCACATTTAACGTTCAGTTTATACTGGTTATGTAAAGCTCGATGTGTAGCCGTGTGTACATCGCAAATTGACTTGAGAACTCCTGGTTGCTGTATAAATACGGCGAAGTCCAAGTTTTATTTCAGAAAAGCTATTCATAGCCAAATGTTACTGTTAAAATTGCTGGACCGACTATACCTAAGAACCTTGTTAGAATAATCATTTTTCAATAATGAAATGTAACATCACACCCGTCATATGAAAAAATAATTTCAATTTAAATTTTCACTACACATTTTACAAGAATTTTTGGATATCAGATTTTAAAAATCAACACTATTGTCCCTCTTCTCTATGTATACGTCTAAATATCTAATTTCTAATCTGTTCACAAGTATTTTTCAAGATCAATGAGTTTTTCGAATAAATGAAATCTTTTTTGATGTAGTACTTAAGTTTAGTCTAAGCGATGTATGTTATCACATATAGTTTAAGATCGTATTGGAACAAAATATGCATTATTAATCAATTTGTGAGTTATGAAAAATTACTTAATTTTAGTTTTATAGTTCTTGTGGTTATTGCGTTCCTACATCAAAAGGTTGGAAACACAGTTCTAATGGGGGCTAACGTCTTTTTGCTCACCAAATAGCGCAAAATGTTGGATGGGTTTTATTGTACAATCACTGTAGCTATCAAATAACGTCCTAGCTAGCTATTCAGCTACTAACAACTAAAAACTACCGCAAAGTTAAGTTCGACGGTGCATTCATATGCCGTCACCACTCGACACTGGCAGTATAGTCGACAATATCGTTTTAAAGACTTGATTGCCAAAGAAGAAAAAAAAATCTCTATTGGACGAAGAACAAGAGGTTCACACTAGTGCCACCTGGTGAGCAAAAATATAGTAGGCCCCATTTCTCTCGCTCCTCTGGTGTTGCGAGTGTTCATGGGCGACGTTGTTTGCTTACCATAAAGTTATCTATTCCTTTGCGCCTTCAGTCTTTAAAAAGTTGCATAAGTTGCCACAGAATTGTAAAACTAAAATGAAACTAGTATGAAAGTAATGTATCAAGTTATATACCATCATAAAGACGTTTCAATAACTTCGTGTGTATGGCAATAACTCAATGTATGTATATATAAGACAGGAATTATATTGGTGACAATCAAATTAGGCTACGTCATATTGATTCGAAACAAAAGGTCACATCATCGCTTACCACCAGGCGAGATAGTGGTCAAACGTCAGTCCCATCTAATATATAAAAAAAAGCTTTTTAATAAAACCATAAATGTCTGAAATGTATCATTTACATAATATTTAAAATTAACTAGAAACTGTTTTAAAAAAAATCTTTTGTTTACTTTTATTAGAATTCTTTGGCTTTCATTATAGATTTAAAAACTATCGATACTAAATCGGTTTAGGCGTTCCAAACTTTGCGCTTATCAATTATTAAAACGATTCATTTTATTATTTGTGGTAGTAGTATAACTACAGTAAGAATAAATAGTAAAAAATAGGCGTGGCCTAATATTTTTGTCTACCATTATATTTTTGTACTGAGTGACGATATCAGTAATCTGTATGAACGTACTGCATGTCTGCGCGCAATGCAAGGCAATATTTATGTATTTTCGTATAATATAATAAATATAAATAAATTAATTAAAAGCATGTGAAAGATAACAATTTGTTATGTCTTATGACAGCTCTGTAATTTTGTGAACCATTTTCTTTTTGAAAATAAATGATTTTACCAAAATATTTTTCTTTGGAGTTTTATTTTGTATTCTTTATTTCTTACTGCTTCGTTGGCGGAGTGGTTGCAAGTGCGACTGGGGTAAGGGGTCTCGGGTCGGGCAAACTACTACTGGGTTTTAAAAAAAAATCTGTAGTAGCCCGGAGTCTGGAATTGTGCCCGGTATATGGCAATAGGCTCAGCCCCCTATTACATGGGACTCATAACATAAATAGTGAAAGTGGGTGTTACATTATAAAATGGCATAATGTGCACCTCTGCCTACCCCTTCGGGGATAAAAGGCGTGATGTTGTTATATACTCTCATGAGGTTACTTCAGTTCAGACATCACACATGAAAATTACAATTTTCTGTTCCTTTTAAAGTAGCTAAAACTATATTAACTTGCTACTCACCAACATACGACTAACAGAAAAAAAACAAGGTTAAATAATAAATGAAACGCATAACTGGGTAACTTAGAATATGTTTATTGAAGAAACATTACATTTTAGCACAGCCTAGCTGCTCCTACGAAGCCTTCGCTCCTCACTACCGATACAAGGCATGGTGACTGATTACAGCTCTGACTTAATATTTTACATACGATTCGTCGTTTTGAAGACAATTCATAATAGTAATAAATTTATTCAGAGAAAAAGAATTTCATTTGCTTATAAGACAAAAATAAAGTTTGTAGGTCTTAGAATTTTCAGCTAATCTGTCAAAATTCGTTTATATATTTCATTTTAATTTTATTATATATTTATTTTAAATGTGTTATATGTGTACATTCAGCAGTTTTATTTTTGAAGTACATTTTTCAAACATCGAAAACTTTAATTACGAGCTCGTTTCGAAAACCAAATGAGATTTATTTTCTGTTA